CTTCAGCTGTGTTTATAATTTCTCTTGTTCATTTTACAGGAAGTTGACTTGAAGAATCACAAATGGGGACACTATTTCCTCTGTGGGTGAGTATGCATTATTTATTTTCTGATTTCATTTTGTATAATTATTTTAATGGGATGTTGTTATCATTATGTATGCAACTTGTTTTTAGATGATATGAATGCATGATATTTATGTTCTTAGGTTTTACTTTTATCCTAACCAATACTTTCAGGACAGTGATGAACTTTAAGCTAAACCAGCATGACCAAATTATAATGTTAAAAATGTAATGATCTTAGCATAGGATGTGTATGATCTACACAAAATTTAAGGGTCAATCACATATCCGGCAGAATCTGAAGGTCTTTGCCTTTCAGGTACAAAGGCTATTACGAATTTGCAAAGTCAAAAGGACAAGATGTTGGTGTGCCAGTTGGACTTGACGTTCTTGTTGATGGAACAGTACCTACAGGTTTTTGTTTTGTGTACTTTTTCATTCAAACGGACAATGATGTCTGTTAGTTACTGCAGTTTAGAAGTTTGCATGGAGGGTAGAGATTTTTAGTAAAAACAACTGAAGTCATTAGCTCAATATTTTGTTGCAGCAAAAATTTGTGACGTGATAAAGTAATATGAGAATTATTCTTTTCATTCAGGATCTGGATTATCAAGCTCTGCTGCATTTGTTTGCTCTTCTACCATTGCAATAATGGCTGTTCTTGGTGCCAACTTTCCCAAGGTGTAACACCTTACCCTCATGCTCTGATTACTGTATGAGTGTACGCTACTGGGTCTAAGACTGACTTGGATTTTGACTTGATGATTTACATATATTGAGTTTGTAAATTGTTCTATGGTATCCTAAGTCCCAATTCATATTTTCTGGTAGACCTTGATACTCCCCAATGGTTGTTATTAGTATCTCAGATTTGGTCCACAGATCATAGGAGGTACCTTGTTTGCTTGTTATAAGTCATTGGAATTTGAACCTTCAGAAGCTTGCATTGTGTTCTTTTATTTATTTATTTTTTCTTTTTAGTTCAACATTCCAGATCCAATGCCAGTGAAGTGACTTGATGGCTTAATTCATGAACTTTTGAAGTGAATTGTTGGGGACAATGAGCTAAATCTATAGCACTGTAGTAAGCATTATTATAAAATTTTGGGTCCACTGGCTGAACATGATTGCATTCTCATTGTCTTTTTTAGTTAAATGAACCAGAATTTGTCCATCTAGTCATCTACTACTTACCAGATGCTACTTGGTACGCTTGTATAGTGTGATTTAACTGGAGTTGATTTGGTAAAGTTGGTTGTTGCCACATCAATGAAGCTCAATTATTTGATTTTTAGTCAGATTGAATCTAAGGAATCTTACAAAAATTCCCTTGTGGTACAGAAAGAAATTGCCCAACTTACCTGTGAATGTGAACGACACATTGGTACACAATCTGGTGGAATGGATCAGGTATTTTTTCTTTACTTTGCAATTAATAGACTTAACATGGAGAACAGAGCAATAAAGGGTTGTGAAAAAGTTCTTTAAAACTATTATCTATTTTTTTGGAAAAAGAGAGAGGAACACATGTTCAGCTAACTCTTATCTATGTTTTTCCCTTTTTTCTTTAATTATACTCGTGACTTGTGAATAATTTGTCTAGGAGAATACTTGAAGTTGTTCTTCTTTTGAAAATCGTGTGTTTCTTAATAGTTATATAATAACCTTAATATTCAAGCCACCTAATCACAGTCCTTAGGAACAATTATTCAAACTGAACGATCGGCCAAGCAGGCCCATCGTTTTCCTCATTAAACGGCTTGTGCTATTGGTGGGTTTTGTTTGATATTATTTTATTGCAAAGGCCACAGATAGATAATCACTACAATCGCTTAATTGAAATACTAGTGTGAATAAATCTATTTGTTCGATTGTTTAGAAAGTTGATCTGTGGCTTCATTTCAATTCTATGTCATGGTCAATATGAGAGTTTCTTTCTAGCTTCAAATAGTTTCCAATGATTGTAAACGCTATCCAATTATCCTTGCAGGCAATCTCTGTTATGGCCAAATCTGGTTTTGCAGAACTGATCGATTTCAACCCTATTCGCGCTACTGATGTGCAACTTCCTTCTGGTGGGATTTTTGTTATAGCCCATTCTCTAGCCGAATCACAGAAAGCAGTCACTGCTGCCACAAATTATAATAACAGAGTTGTCGAATGCCGACTTGCTTCTGTAAGTTCTAATGTTAATATGATGTATGATGTATTTTCATCTATTGTTAATAAAGGACGCTAGCTGCCATAAATCTTAGTTTAAAATTCCTTCTAAGGAATTGAGTTATTCATTATCTTCTTTTTCCTTCTGCTGACGGTTTAAACTTGGTGTCTATTTTGAACTTTTTGATTTAAATGTATCCAAGTAATGATTCCAGATGCTTTTCAGATTGTTCTAGGCATAAAGCTTGGGATGAAACCGAAAGAAGCAATAGAAAAAGTGAAGACTTTATCTGATGTGGAAGGGCTGTGTCTTTCATTTGCTAAGGAACGTAACTCTTCAGATCCTGTTCTTGCAGTCAAGGTATTTTCTTTTTATTTTTTTTGCACCCAGACATGTTATCAGTTCTTGTTTGAAGGGAAAAACAAAACACACAAATATTTGTTGTAATGATGATACATGCTGGTGATGTTACGGTTTATAACACAATCTTCTAAAATATTTTCAGAAATGATTTGATCATTATTTAATTTGTTTTGGGATTTTGTAATATTACTGTGCAATCTCATATTTGACGACCATGGGACACGATTTCACAAAATCTCCCATTTTGGAACATTCTTTCATTCCTTTATCAAGTTTCAGCATATTCTTATTTCTCTGTCTCTCTCTGTCAAAGGAACTGTTGAAGGAGGAACCCTATACAGCTGAAGAAATTGAACAAATCACTGTGGACAATCTGCCGTCCGTTTTAGACAATTCTCCAACTTCATTGGATGTTTTGAAAGCTGCCAAGCATTTCAAGTTGTATCAGGTATATTATGTTTGCGATTGCTACCATGTTTTGTTTCTCTTTAATTCGTGGTACTTGCGTGTTCCTCGAACATTACCTTCTGTTCCTAATTCTACCCTTCCATTTCAAGCTAGGGTAGACATGCTATTGATCTCTATTTTCAACTCTCTCTAGCTAGTGTAGGCTTGCTTATTGATCTCTATGGTCCTATGTTCTCTCTCTGTCTCTCTCTGTCTCTCTCAATAAAAAAATTGGTCAATTTTTTCAGCGAGCGTCCCACGTGTACTCTGAAGCCAGGCGGGTCTATGCTTTCAAGGATGCAGTTTCGTCAAGTTTAAGGTAAGTGATGGCTTGTAGAATTATCCAACAGCCTTTTTATGTTTTCATTACTCTTACATGATTTTCATTTGTTAATTCTCTTAACAAAGTGAATTTATACAAACTTCAGTTATAGATTACATCGTACGTCCAGTAAGGTAGAGGGAAAATTGTTATTCTTTTTCCCATTTTTTAATGTTGAGGAATGTTCTTTTGGCAGTGAGGAAGACAAGCTTAAGAAACTCGGTGATCTCATGAATGATAGCCACTACAGCTGTAGCGTTCTTTATGAATGCAGGTACAGACCGTTTCACAATTTAGTAGGTTCTCAAATCTCATCTTCAATCATCTGTGATACAAATTGCAAAACTTCTCCTCAGTCATATCTTTCATAAAAATTTCAATCACGACAAACCGTGCAGCCTCGTGTTGCTTAACATTGTTTGATAGCAATCAGATTCCCATCTTATTGTTTGTTTTCCCAGCTGTCCTGAGTTGGAGGAACTCGTAAAGATATGCCGAGACAACGGTGCTCTCGGGGCCAGGCTAACTGGAGCAGGATGGGGAGGCTGTGCGGTCGGTCTCGTAAAAGAGGCCATTGTTCCCCAGTTCATTCTCAGCCTGAAGGTTAGTTTTTTGACACTGGAATAACTGAAAAGCGAATGTCTTTCTTCCTAGTTGAAAGTTGGAATTTAGTTTAAAACTTCTGGCCGTTTGATTCACACCAGGAGAAATTCTACAAATCGAGGATCGACCGAGGAACCATCAAGAATAACGACGTCGATCTCTACGTCTTTGCTTCCAAGCCATCGAGTGGAGCTGCCATCTTCCAGTTCTAGGTTATCAAATGCCTTGGAGGAAGGTATTGTTTGTTTGGTTGGTTTCTTCCATTATTGCCAGTTTAGAAATATGGACATTTCATGAGCTTAGCATTCATCGCTGAACTCGTTCTCCTTCTTAGCCTATAAATATAAATAAAAGGATTGTGTAACCTGGAAAACTGAGCTTATTGTGGAATGAAACGACCAATAATTGAGTTTTTATCTTAACCCTTTGTTGAGCTTTTTTTAGAATGAAACGAGCAATAGTTGAATTTTTAGCTTGAATGTTTCTGTATTTAGCATCAATTATTATTCCCATAAAGGAAATATTAGTACCAATTCTGAATGTTAGGAATTTTATTTTAGTATGGGTATAGCTTGTAATTACTCAATTTGTGTAAGACATGCTCGTGTCCATCCACTAAAGCCTAATAGATAAAGACACTTAAAAATATATATATATATATCTTTGCCCAAGTCAAATCAAAACATTTTACCAAAAAAATATTAGTTTCGAGGAGTAGCATTTAAAATCATAATAAACGGACATGTAGGAAGACTCGATCTAAAGGGCACCCCATGCAGTTGCACGACCCTCTCCCCATCAAGAGTGGTTTACACTCCATCTAAAAAAAAATTGAATAACATGGGATGAGTATAAAACTAAGAAATCTACTTGTAGCACTAAATTTAGGCTATGTGCCCATAATGGCTTAATGTCTGTGTCAAACTTTATAGGTTACGAACCAACTCTTACCATATCTCGTTTAAGGAGTTCTCAATTCCTCGTAGGTTCACAACTTATGGGTTTTCTGTAAGTTTTCTGTTTTCTCTAGTGTCCTTCTCTTTGCTCTAAACGGTGACCGACTCCATAAATTGAAACAAAATGTTGCAATATTTATAAGGATAATGGTATCAGAAAATTCACCTTCTTAGGACTACTGCAGTGACAAGGTTGTAATTCAAGCGAGAACGAGGCGACACATGATCCATAAGAACCCTAAAACAATTAAAAACTTTCAACCTAAATAGTAGACTGGGTGGAAATAAGTAACTATACCAACTCAATTTATGTGGCACTGTGATGTGATCCATAATCTCATAGGTATTTACATCGTATAATGTTGCATCAAAATAAAGAACAAAACCTACACATGTTCAGTACAAGATATCAATCTAAAACTTCCACAATGAGATTTAGGCAAGAAAAGTCCTCAAATGAGAAAAGTGTATACCTAGCCAAAAAAATCGATAATCAACCGTTTGTAGCAGCTTTCGATTGCCGTTTCGACTACAATCAGGAATAGAAAACCTTAAAAAATTTCAGGGAACAAACTTACAATTTAATGCACTTCAAACAGAGAGCGAAAGAGAGCGAATGGATTTATGAAGAAAACAGAGCAACTTGGGAGTGACGAATGTAGAAAAGAGCAGGGAAGTTAATAAATAGCCGTCTGAGAAGCTTGCGTGAAGAAGAAGCTACTAAATAACTTAATTAAAAATAATAAATATTTTCATTTTAATTTTAAAAAACGGTTTACAACTAAGAAAGGTAGAAGTGGGCCAACACACAATTCCCATCAGAGCATGTTCGAGGCCCAATAAACCCCAATTAAAACAAAATTATGACAGATAAATGTTCAAACGATAAATTGAATTATTGGATAAAAAAATGCACCAGCCGGGAATCGAACCCGGGTCTGTACCGTGGCAGGGTACTATTCTACCACTAGACCACTGGTGCTGATGTTTAAGTGAATGAAAAAACTTTATTTATTGCTAATTTATTTTTTATTTTTGCAATTAAATTCTAAATAATTCAAAATGCAAGAAACCATAATTTAAAATATATATATATTATATTCTTAAAACATTTTAAAACCTTTTATTTAAATAAAATACAAGATTAAATAGATTATAACGTATAATCATAGCTAAAAATGTTTTAAGACAATTTTTTTTAAATGGTTGACCAAATACCGATCAATAAATAGTAACCTCAAATTTATCCTAAAAGTAATCAACTCCAAAGGATATTCAGAATCATACGTTTAACTCCCAATGAATACAACAATACAGACTCTTCAAAAACTGAGCCTCAAATTGCATTTTTTTTCATACAGAGAATCACCGGAGGGGTGAAAAATGCACCTCCGAACAACTTCATCTGTTACAGATAGTTGTTAGGCTAATGGTTGAGATTATTCGGTTTTCGATGCTGGCGATGACGATGGCGAGAGCACTTGTTTCCATTGGCTTTGCCGAGTACACAAACGCAGCCTTGAAGAAGCTCGTAATCCTCCTCCCAGAACAATAGAGACGCCTTCTCTGGGTTATCCAGAAGCAACTTTGATGTCAAGAAACCAGCAATCGTCCATGTTTGGAAGAGTCGTGATTGCTTCCCTATTAAGCTTGCACTGCGCATGTCGTAGTACTCGGGCCAACGATCAGCTGAAAGCTTCTTCTCAGCCACTGCAATGGCTTTCCTTGCTAGCTCTGGCCGCCCCATCTTCATGCAGGCCAGTGTGAACTGTAAAGATGTCCACAAAAAATAGCAATGAGAATAATGAATGGTCAATCAAGTCTGAACAGAAGTTTGAATAAGAACAAGTCCCTCACCTGCCACAAGAGAGTTGGCCAAGATCCTCCATTATGATATGACCAAGGACTGCCAACAAGAAAAGCAGAGATAATTTTCAGTGCTAGGTTACGAGTAGTATGATATATTTCAAATGAGACTACTTTTTTGTTCTTCAAAATTCTAAAGAGACTAACGTGTTCTTCGGGTCGCTTCCAGTTATTATGCGCCATTCCTCGTGTTCCATGGCTGGGAAGCATATCTTGAGAGGCATGTTAGCCACAAGGTCATCCCATTTGGCTTCAATCAAGTTCAGAATGCCCTCGTTCTGTTGTGGAGTCCCGAGTGATGAAACAATGGACCAAAGATTTCCGAGCGTAAAAAACCTGAAGTCCATGTGAGCAGGCTGTAGATTGCCAATCAGGTAGCCACCCTCCTCAGGAATCCAGTCCACCAGCCAACCGGGAATTTGTTCGGGATATATATTGAACTTGTTCACTGCATCGGTAGAATATTCCTCGGTTCTGTATCGATAAATTTCGTTGAGTTTGTTCTTATCGACCCAGAAATATTCCCGGATGTGGAAGGAGAGTGCACTCAGCCTATTGTTCAGGGCAGCGACCAAATTCTTCGTCGAGTCGTTGACAATCAGCATCTCTCTTGAGCAGCGTAAGGCCGAATAAAACAATGCCTGCAAAAGAAATTAACCACAGTAAGGAACTGCCTGCAAATGATCTTAACTATACATATAGTAACCATGAAGGATTGCCTGCAAATGCTATGAAGGATGATCAATTAGTATTCTTACTTGAATTTCAAGTGGGTGTCCATGAATGCCCATTCGTCTATCAATCATGCACGAGCCATCACCGACTAACAGAGTAGGAAACATATCGAACCCATTCGTCAAGCAGAGATTAAGGATCAGTCTTATGCCTGTCTGTACATCGATACGTTCCTGCAATGTGTAGTCTCCCGTAATCTTTCCATAAGCTCTTAATAAAATAATCCACCACAACCCTGTGAGCAAGCATACACAGTAACAAAGTTTCAAACTCTGGCACATGTAAAGTTGCATGTTTGCACAGTAATCTATAGTTACCAGAATCAACTGGTGCAACACGACCAATGGCAGATTCACCAAAATCAGGATCAAGAACTTCCTCGAAAGCTCCATCGCTTCCATCGAGAGGTTGGCTTCTAACTTTGAAACTTGCTGGCATTAACCCTTGCCCAGGGCTGTAACAGTCAACGGTTTTCTCCCAACTCTAATCAACAATAAAGACGGTTGATTTCAGTTCAAAGGATGATGTGAGCTGTAGTACTAATAAATATCATTAGGACTTGTAAGAAAAAGGTCTCTCAAAATGTTAGTGTGCTTCCAGTTCAGGATGATGAGATGTCATGATATAGCGTAGACGGACTATACCATGCTAGTAACAGTCCAAGTCCACCACTTTAGGATGATGAGATGTTCATGACAATATCTGCTAACGTTGAGCTTGGGCTGTTACAAATGGTATCAGAGCCAGACAGGCAGTGTGCCAGTGAGGACGCTGGACCCCCAAGGAGGGTGGATTATGAGATCCCACATCGGTTGAAGAAAAGAACGAAGCATTTCTTACAAGGGCATGAAAACCTCTCCCTAACATGCGCATTTTAAAAATCTTGAAAGGAAGCTTGAAAAGGAAAGTCCAAAGAGGACAATATATGCTAGCGGTGGGCTTTGGCTGTAACAATGCTAATGCTAAAGAAGACGCATCTAACAAGCAGTAAATTTTACTTAAAACTTGCATCAAATTAAGGAGACCAGGTATGCATATACAAGATAAACAAAAAGCTCAACATGTAAGTCTATACCTGTAATTGCAAGGTGTGAAGGAGAAAATTCTTGACAATCTCCTCTTCTCCATTTAACAAGAAGGCCAAGGCCGACGGTACAAAATCACGAACAAAAACCTGGTCGTAATTCAGTGGCTGAGTATCAGATGGATCATTAGCAGCAACAGTTCCAACAGGATGTCCACAATAGTTCACAACAGAGTCTCGAAGCAAGTTCCATGCCTCCTTTTCAATTTTGGACACCTCTCTCTCAACCCTAGAGCCCTTCAAACCACTCAGTTCCTCAACCTCAGACACCTTTTTTTCATCTTTCACAAGATCCGTCTCAATACTCTCTATCACCAATGGCTTAACCTTAAACCCTCCTTGAATATAAATTCTCTCAAAGCTCTTCTGTTTCACATGAGGCTCAGCAGATGTCGATTGATTTCTAAAATCCGAAGCTACATTTGCAATCAAACACCTATTTCTACCACTGTTACCTTTATACAACCGATGTAAATTAGAACAACTAAAGCATCTCCTATTCAAATCACCAACAACCTGTACAGATCCTATTATTTTACGCCCACTCGGCTCTAATTTCGAAAATCTACCGATCCTCCTATACTTTGCCTTGGCCAATGAGGTTGTTCCAAACATCGAGGAGGATTTGAAGCTAAAAAGAATCCTACAAGGTTTCATGGTAGAAATTCCCAGAGAACTAGAAGTATGCATGTTTCAGGCTTCTAAAATCCTTATAGACAACTAATTTCCTTAGATTAGCTTATAATAATCAGCTAAAATGGAGGGAAAATTAGGGATTAGAGCGCTAATATTCAACTCTGTTAGTTCTGAAAAATCGAAAGAACAGAGTATCCAACCTATTCTTACACGAATTTACAGGGGAAAGATTACTTACAGATTGATGAACAATTGAACTGAAAATATCTTCACGAAAGAGAGAGCGGTTTCGAATTTTTTAAAAAAATCTTGTAGGAACGGAAGAAGCTGCACAGGAGCCTGTTTTATAGATGCTGGGGGAGGAAAGAAGGTGAAATGAAATTACTTGAATGACCCTTTCATATTCAACACGGCTTGTGTGCCTTACAGTTGAATTACTGAATTGCCCTTCATCTGCGAAAAAGGTTGACTGAAAAGACAATAATACCCCTAGCTGTTCAATGTCTGTTTGTCACGGGGGACGTTGAATTACCGATTTCTCCTTTTACTGTTCAAACATCAGAAGTTCCCAAATCTTTTTTTTTTCAATTATTTAATTTTTTTTAAATAAAATTTTATTATCTAAAACATCTAACTCAAAGAAAAATTATGCTCCAAACACGTGTTTTTTTATTATTGTTAGGAAATAAATAATTTTGAATAATATCGATCATATGGAACACTTTAAAAATCTCTAATTTTAAATAGATAATATCAAAAATATTTTGTCATAAAGAAAAAATCCTAATTGAAATTTAATAAATAAATTGTAAATTACATATTTATCCTTCCCCTTCTAAAAGTATTTAATAAAGTTTTAAGCCAAATTAATTTATCATGTAAAATTGTATTTTTATATTTATAAAATTAAAAAAAATTAAATTTTGTGTTTAATAAATCTATTTTAAAAATTAATTATATTAAATCATTAAAAAAATAAAAAAATTATATACACTATACAAAATTTATAATTAATAATTGATTAGAGATCTTTTTTTTTTTAATTTCTACTATTGTAATTATTATTTAACAATGAAAAATAGGTATTAATAATTAAAGATTTACTCTATAAAAAATTAAAATTTTAAAGTTTTCTAGATACTTTTTATTATTATTATTATTATTTGATAATAAAATAGGTATAATATGGTGTTTGCGAGTACCAGGTTTGGGTAAATAAAGGCGTGCGGAGAGGAGGGTATAATCGTCTTATCACTATTTGGAACCGGATAAGATTCGTCGGTCGTGTGTCAGTGACGTGGAATTAAAGTAAAGCAAAAAAATGTGGCAAAATCGAGAACGCTCAAGTGGGCCCCACCTTTGTTCTCGGTCCACCCAAAACCATCTAAAATTCACATGAGACGTGGCGAATGATGATTGGCTAGGCAGTCATCAGAGTTGAACAGACCAATCAGAAACTGGATCGTGTTTGGTGCATTGCATTGCGACAGGATATTATTAAATCTAAAGTCCACATGCCTCGCACTTGCTTTATTTGGGCTTTTTTCTCTTTCCTTAATTGCGCTAATCCAAATCCATTTCTCTAATGGGCCTGTTTTTTTGGAATGTTGAGGCCCAAATACGCGGAATATTATATTATGTTGAATTTTTAATTTTTAAAAACTATATTCAACATTAAATTGTTTTTTAGAAAATAATATTGAGTTTATTAGGTTTTTTTTTTTAATGAAAATTTATTATTATTATTATTATTATTATTATATATAACTCCTCCAACCCATCCTCACTCAATCCTTGAGAATTGAAATAGGAGGTACAGACGTGGACGGAGAAGGTTTGCGTCGTTCGTGCTCTTTTCACAACCATACTATATAAGGAGAGTCACAACCATGCTATGAAAATAGTAGATTATGACCTTCACATTGAGACAAGCAAGGTGGCAACCCTTTAGAGGTGTCCGTGAGAGAAAATATAGAAGAATGTCATGGTGCTACTGAAGATGACGGGGCATCATTCAACAAACCATATAACGAGTGCATTGAAGAAGAAACGAGACATGAGTAAGATAGGGGCAACGAGTAGACAAAAATGTCACCGATAGACTTAATGGAATGTCAAATAGAGCCCCAGACCTTAACTCCAAAGGGGATTTAGACACGTAGAGTCAAGTTCGTCTATATGAAACATCGAGTTTGGTGTTGATATTGGAGGGGTTTGACAAACAAACTCAGTAATGGATGTGGCTATCACAATCCACCCAACGCCTTACGCCAAGTAATTAGCCAGCCGAAATCATTGCAACCAAACAAGGAACCTCCAAACGACTTACATTTTATTTCTTTTTTTTCCTTTAATACTTCATTTCAATTTTGTTTTGGTTTACGTAACTAAAAGGGATTGCTTGGACTTATCATAACAAATCCTTTTTTTTTATTTATTGCGTCATATTTAAGGTTTATCAAGTTCAATTAATCTATTTTTTTCAAAAAAATACATTATTCTTTTTTTCTACTATAAATATATAAATATTTTATGTGGTTGACCTTCACAAAAATAAATTTTATTTACAATTTTCAACCAAAATTAATAGAAAAAAATAAATAAATAAAGGATAAGCATTGACGGTTGACTCACTGTAGAAAGGAAAGAAAATACAACATACGAGCACTTATAATAATTATTTGGTCCTTTTGTTATTAAATTTATTTATTTGATCCTTAAATTTTATTAATTTTAAATTTAATTTTGTATTAACGGATCTTTTAATTTTTTAATGTTATGTTTAATAGTTTATATCCACACAAAAATTTTACAAATTTAAAATTATAAAAAAAATTATAAAAGATTTATTAAATATTTTTAAATTACCAATATTGAATAAAGAAAAATAGAAATTAAAATTTCAACTTTGGTTGTGAGTGGCCGCCATTGACGCATAGCTTTCTGAAACTGAAAGCTCACAAACTCCCATTACCCTTTTCTTCTTCTTCCCATCGCCTTCCATGGAAAGCCTTTCACGCAAGTCCAAATTCCTTCAACACTTATTTTGGGAAGCTTCCTTCTTTAGAGCTCTCGAACAGCCTCTCTTTAATAGGTTCGACTCCTTTGTTCGAGACTTCAATCATTCTAATTGCATCTTCGGGACTCACAGTTTCTTTCGATACTTAATGACTCTCTTAACATGGTTAAATTAAGGGCATGATTCTTGTACCATGTTAGGAACTGTGACCCTCTATGGCTATTGTGGAGATAGTGTTCTTTAATTATAAACCAACGTAGGACGACTCTCAATACTTCTCAACGTGGATCGTCAACTCTCTTATCTTAGTATATCACGTGTCATTTAATGATTGAACCTTAATTTTTTTTTCTTTAAAGAGAATTTGTTGTACTATGTAATGTCTATCGGTCATTGTCTCATAAAAAAGTAATATCATATAAAGCATCGAGGTTGATCGATTTATAGAACGAAAAAAGTCAACGACCATAAAACGATAAAGATTGTTGATTCGTAAATTAAAAGTCCTAAAAATTTTCAGACACAATTAAAAAGTTTAGAGATTTATTAAACGCGTTAAAATGTAATCTATATTTGTCCTTTCTAAATGTGAAAACGAATTCATAAATGGATTCAAGGAATATTAATAAATAAAAACTAAAAATCATTTTTTAATATAAAGTTTAGATCAATAATTTTTTTTTTTGTTCTTTATTTAAATAATAATATAAATAAAGCAAAGGCAAAATATTCTTTTAAATTTTTAAAAAATGCTTGTCTGTGGTGTGTTTTCCTATATTTTAAGGGTTGCGGCTGTCAGTGCTTCTATTGAGGAAGCCTAATTTTAAATTCCTTTTTTTTTCCTTCATATTCCACGTGGCAGTTCCTGAACAGGTTAATTTCGAGGACCACTGACAAAATGGGTTAATATCGATGCACGTGGCTTATGAAATGACACCCCGCCGCCATAACCAATCTCCCCCCGCTCCCCCCTTTTAGTTCTTCCATTTCATCACGTTTCGACCGTCCCTTCGGCACGTGCCCTTACCTTTTCTTTTTCCCTATTATTATTCTCACTTTTTCTTTTTCTTTTTTTTACTTTAATCAAATTAGTTTTATTTTTTAAAATATTTTATATTTATATTATTTTAAATATATGAAAAAAAAAATACAAAAATACGACATATTTCAATTCTATCTAGCGGTTAAAAAATACTCGAGAGAGAAAATTGACTGTTTTACCCTTCTCATTTCCATACAAGATTGAGGATAGAAAAGTAAAGTCCTTATTGCATATAAAACAAACTTTTAGTATAATATATATATATACAATGTGAACGGGTAGTGTAATTAGTGCAACTTTGAGGGAGCAATTTGCAATTAAAAAAAATAAAACAGGGGGGACATAGGACATAGGTGGCATTCATTAAACATGATAAGAACATGTTTTTACTTTTGAAAAAATTGGCCTAATAATAATGTCTTTATTAAAATTTTAAACTCCAGAAATCAACGAATGAGAGAGTGCCACGTCACGAGCCCCTTTTGGCAAAATCTAGAACATTAGGGAACTTTTGGTCTGGTTCAATCTCTGTGGACATCAATATCTTAATTATAAAATTAGTTTATGGTTTCGGCTTCTAAACTCCAAACAAAATTATTATTTAAATAGTTAAAAGTGGAACCAATTATTCACGAATTTTATTATTTTAATTCAACATTATCTACTCCCACAAAAACTATATACTTCCCATTATCAAAACATTTGCATTTTGAATGCGAGTAAATTACTAATATACCCTTATTTGTAATGCAAGAACCTAGATCCACCACTAACCGATATTGTCCTATTCTATTTTGGGATTTTCCTCAAGGCTTTAAAACGTTGCTAGGGGAAACTCACCGTTGTCCTGTCCTATTTGGGATTTCCCTCAAGGCTTTAAAACGCTGCTAGGGGAAACTCATCGCTAGCAGATATTGTCCTGTCCTATTTGGGATTTTCGTCTTCCCCGCTAGCAATACTGTCCTATTCTATTTGGAATTTCCCTCAAGGCTTTAAAACGCTGCTAAGGGAAGGTTTTCACACCCTTATAAATGGTCTCTTTGGGCTTTTTCTTTCGAGCTTCCCCTCAAGGCTTTAAATCGCGTTTGCTAGTAGAAGGTTTTCACACCGTTATAAACTGGTTTGTTCTCCTCCCAGCCAAGGTAGAACATCCCATGTAAAATGGGTTTTTTTTTTTTATTTCTCTTTTCAGATTAAATTTGTATTAAATTGACTGTAAAAAGAACTTACACCCACTGCTTTAAAATTATAGTTTTTACTAATGGAAAAAGAGTTCGATACTTTCTCTAACGGATGAAATTGGTCTATTTTAAGTTTTTATTTTATTTCACTATTATAAGTTAATAATTTATTTTATTAATTTTTTACCGATTACTTTGAATAAGTTGAAGACATAAGTGAGACATGCTCAATTATGGTGAACGACGTCATCATCTTAGATGCGCGAGACATAAAGCTCGTAGTGCTTCTTAGTGCAGCTATGTAGATAAATGGAATGGCCCTAAATCGAGACTTTTTTTTTAATAAAAAAATATTATTTTCTCATTCAATTAAGATATAAACTATATAAAAAAAAACATTATTCAAAATTAAAAAAAAACATAATTATTTTTACTTAATTCAACAATTTAGAAAATAATTATATTATGAAATTGGATTTTTTTTAATAATAATATAATTATAAGAGAAAGGAATTTATCATGTAACCATAAAATAATTATTTAAAGATAAGGGAAGAGGGAATGAAGTAGGTCGATAGCTAGCAGCCTAGCACGCCCTTCATAATATTTATAAATAAAATAAAATAAAATAAAAACCCCTCGAGATTCAATTATACAAATTCCCCCCAAGCCCCAATAATTGGAAATTTAACCAAACATTAAAAAAAAAAAAAAAAAAAACGTTAATTTTTTTTTTTTTTTTTTCAGATCATGATATTCCGCTCTACAAATTATGTATAGTTTCCCCTTTTGTTTAATCTGTTAATTCAACTGCTGCTGCGAGAACCAGAAGTAATCGGCACCGGCGTCGGCGGTATTCCACAAGCTCTCCGACGTGTCAACGCCACCGTCCGCCGCCATCCACTGGCAACTACTCTGCTCCATCGCCTGAAAATCCAATGTCTCCTCGTTGAAGAATCCAGGAGCCGGACTCTGCAGCGGCGGCGGAACCACCGGAAAACAACTGAAATTGTTGTAGCAATCCGTCAAATCGGACATGGAGGAGCCGCCTCCACCTCCGCCAGAGCTGGAATTCTCCGACGTATAACTCGGAGTGACCTGTGGAGTACTGACAAAATCACTACCGCTGTTCATCACAGCCGCCGACGCCGGCCGAGCCACTGATCCGTACGATCGGTTTCCGTCGACGGCGGTGGACGCCGCGACCTGAATCCGTTCGACGAGACGCGGCATCCAGAGATATCGCATGGTATCCTTGAATTGTTTACTGTTAACGTCGCATTTGAGCTGCTTTGCGTGCTTCTGAACTCGAGTCCTCCAATAGTTCTTTATTTCGTTGTCGGTTCGTCCAGGTAATTGCTGGGCAATCTTAGACCATCTGAAAATAAAAAAATTATATAAAAATTTAAAAATTATTCACACATTTTACGATTGAAATCAATAAAATCGACGTCCGTACCGATTTCCCCAACGGCAATGAAGTTCCAGAATCAGGAGCTGTTCTTCGAGTGTAATATTTCCTCGCCGGACGTCCGGCCGGAGATAGTTCAGCCACCGTAATCGGCAGCTTTTTCCGGTACGCTTCAGGCCTGTGAATCAATTTTCCAATTTCAACATCAATAAAAAAAAAATGCGCGAACGATAAATTCAGAAACAGAGGAATCGGAATAAGTTAGGGTTCCGGCGAGGAATCCGTTACCGGCGCAACGAGCCAAAGAATTCCAGCGGCCGTCGCCGTGATTCGCGATGTAATTGATAAGAGTCATGTCCTCCTCCACCGTCCACGGTCCTCGTCTCAGGTCGCCGTCGTCGTCGCCGCCGTGTAAGTTGCCGTTATCAAACCGTCGCTCTTTATTTCCGTCCATTTTCCGGTAGCCGGCGGCAGGTTCGATATGATTTTCGACGGAGATTTTTAGAGAGAGAGAGAGAGAAGAAAGAAGCGCTACGGAGAAGACAGAGAAGAAATGGGGTGATTTTATAGATAGAGAAACTTGTGGGGGGTTCAAATGAGAAGAGGAGAAAGTAAAGGGGGGAAAGCCGCAATAAAAGAGTTTAATTAAATAATCGCTTAATTACACTTAATCTACCACTTAATCTTCATCATTAATATAGTTAATGCTACTCTTTCCCTCTCGAGTTGTACAATTTGACTATTAAGAGCCATTTTGAAACTTGAGCTTTTTTTTTATATTTTATTTCATAAATTAAATTAATTTCTTTATTTAATAATATTATTAACCAAAATTCTTTTTGAAAAATAAATTTGAAAAAATAATTATTTAGTTATTGTTATTACTAGAATAATAAATTTTTGTAATTTTATTTTCATTATTTAAAATGAAAATAATTTTTAATTTTGTTTATGTTTTACTAATCACATTAACTAACAAAAAAATCATAATAATTTCCTAAATCGAACATTTTTAGTGTTTAATTTCTCTAAAATTAAATATTAAATCATTATTAAATAATTAATAATTACTGAAATTAATTTCTGTACAAAATTTGTTTTATATCATGGGTCCCAATTTGTCCAAAATTAATTTATATTTAAATATTTTTTTTATTACAACACAAGATAAGCGAATAACATGAATGTTTATAAAATTAATTTATTTATAAATTCCATTAGAATATGCTTAAAATATTAAGAAATTAAATTGGCAATCATAGAATGTCATTTTCAAGGGCATCATCGTATAAATATATTTATAAATACCATTAATTAATTACCATTTTGTAATCTAAGAATATGTTCGAAAATAAAGACCATATAATATCTATAAAATCATTATTAAATTCATGGTATAATTTAAACCATTTCTCAATCTATTTTCAAATATTGTTTGAATTGATGAAGCGTGTAAGAATAAGAAGGTACGTAGAGAAAATATAGAAGGATTGTTCAAATGATTCGAGAATATGATCAAATTGGACTACGTTCAAATTAATCTTTCGATTTGGGTTGGGTTCACGGTTGACATATTTTTTGTCGGGTCAACTTAACCAACCCAAAAATAGGATTACAACCCTACCTTGTGTTGTGACCGGTAAATGTTTGATATTTAAATTTTATGAAATTTGAATAATTAATATATATATATGTCGCAGTAATGATTGTCCAAAGCTTGTTGCCTATGGCCACATGACAGACGTCCTAGTCTTTTGTCTGAGTCGGTTGACAAAGACGTCAACTAATTGAGTGGGGGAGGATGTCATGGTCATGCATGTCTAAGGCGTGTTGTCTATGACTGCATGACAGATATTACGATCGTGCTTGTCTAGGACGTGTTGTCTATGGTTACTCCAAACACCTTTTACATGCTTTCATCCTAGATAGGTCTTTACCATTTCATATTGGGTCAATGTGGAGTGTATGACCGTTCACCAAAATCATATCTACATCGAGATAAAATGCCCCAACCGACAATCCAATCTAACCCAACCTAAAAGTGCAGGGTTGGGTTGCGTTCGATTGTAAATTGTATTTAAGTTGTTCGGGGAGGTTGATCCAAAATATGGAGGGGAGCTAATAAAAAGGATAGAATTGGAATTTTGAAAACTGGAAGGTAAAGCCGGGTTTTCAGGATAAATGGGTTTGACTAATTCAAAGAAAATTAGATTTTTTGGGTTTTTTTTTTTCTAATTTAAATTTAATTTATTTATTTTTCCCTTCCCAATAACTCATCTGAAGCGTCTTTGACCCAAACACGTCATTGTTTTGTTAACTTAAAATTATTTATTATTATTATTCTTATTTTCTTTTTGACCCTTAAACGCATGCGTTTCGGAATTAATATTTTTAATCTCTCTTTTTCGCAGTCTTTGACCATTATACCCTCAAAGGTCTTAAAAAATTAATTAAAATTAAATAATTTAATCGTATGAGAAATTCCCATACGTAACTATGTTGGTTTCAAACTCTACGCACTTTATACAATTTAAATTATTAAATATTAAAATTATTATAAATTTAAAAGTACAATTAAATTAAGCTTATTTTTCTTGTTGGGGATAGCCCACGTGTCAATTGTACTCGCGAACGCCACTTCATAGAATTACCCAAATTGGAAGGGCCTGCTGACGTGGACCTGGAAGCCGTTAGTTTATAATAAAATGCAAGAGGTGGATGCTGATGTGGCAGCATGATGTGTCCAATCACTTCCACCGTATTTGAAAATGCCGATAATAAAGCAAGTTGAATTTTCTAGATGGCGTCCGTTGGTCGATCAGTTCCCATTATTCAGATAATTTCATTCAAAATCTCAATTAATTTTAATACATAAAATTATATTTAATCTAAAAATGTCGAATTTATTTTAAAATATTTTTACAAAAAATATCGATTCGATCGTAATCAAATAAAGAATATCGACAATATTCGATAAATATATTTAAAATTAAAAAAAAATGAAAAATTGGTAGAAGCTAAAGTGGTGATGACCACCGAGATGGTGTAAAGAATTTTATTTGATGAGAAATATAAGTCATTTCTTGAAAGGACAAGCATTTGACATGGAAGTCTAGATTCAATGACTCTGTCTTTCTTTTATTTTCATGTTGTAGTTGATAGTTTTCATCGAGAATACAGCTCAATTGTAAAATTACAAGACTAACAATTATACGTAACGAGTCAAAGTGGACAATATTTGCTAGTAATGAGCTTGAACAGTTATAAATGGTATCTGAGCCAACCACCATGCGGTGTACTAACGAGAACGCTGGCCCCAAAGAGGTAGATTGTGAGATCCCATATCGTAAGACTGATGAAGATATGTAATGAGTAAAAACAGACACTATATACTGGCGGTGGACTTTAGCTGCATGAGTGGTTTTTATAATAACATTTCGTTTATTTTATTTATTTATAAATTATAAAACGTGTGTTTTAAAAATATTTATCATTAATTAAATTAAATTAATGTGTTATGATTAAGCAACAAAATTAATATGATTGACGTGATTGGCATATGTAATCACCCTAATTTTTTTTTACCAAAATGCCCATCTAATTTTTTTCTTTAAAAAATAATTTTATTTCTTCAATTATGATTTTTTTAATATTAAAAAAAACAAATGCAATTTACAACTTTGATTGAAATAAAAGAAATATGGTTTTTTTTTTCTTCAAAATAATTTTAGAAATTTCAGAAATATTTGTTTAAAATATTTTTAATTTTGTTAAAAAAAAACATAAAAGGTCAAAATATACAAAGGGTAGTTTGGTAAAACTTTGGAATAATAATCCAAAAATTTGTAATGTTATATTTTAAAAACAAATATTAATTTTAAATGTATGGTTGATTTTTTTTATACGATTATTAATGATTACCTAAAATATCTTAAAAAATTAATTATATATTTAAAATCCATTGATTCTTCTCTTTTATATATATATATATATATTAATTTTTTAATTTTTTAATTTATATAATAATCCAAAACAATTTGATTAAAAGATGTTAGGTTTAGATAATGATTGCAAAACACCACAAAGTTCATTATCGAATGGGTTTGAAAATTAGTAAAATTATTTGTAAAATTATTCCATTTTTGGGGGCAAAATGGTCATTTTAAATGATCATTTTAGGGCCTTAAACTCCTCTATTTTCAAACCCTACGCCTACCTATTCCCAGTTAAATGCACCTAAAGTCAATGCTTTTTTTTTCATAAATAATTATATAATTAATTATAAGCTAAGATCCAAACCCTCCAATAAAACATTAATTGCAATATTAAAAATCGATAATTAATTCATTCACTGTTTGTCATATCAACGTTATATTAAAAAAAATAGGATCGTCTAGTAATGCCAATATCACATGACCAAAATACTATGCTACCAGGCCTATCGAGATATAAAGTTGAAAATGACTTAAGCGATTAAGAAAATTTCTATAATCGAAGGACTTACACAACCTACCCGGGATAATTGTATGGTCTTTTATGGAAGTGTTGTATGATTGTCTCTCGTCTATATATAGTTCTGTCAAATGTGGCAATACACCTCTAAAGTTATTATCTTATAGATTCATTTTTTTAAAAAATTAATACGGTATTGTTAAGTGAAAGATCCAAATAAAATAAAAAAAATTACTATCTTACTTAATTCTATTTAAAGTCGGTTGAAATTAATTTTTTTTTTTTTACATCACATTTAAGTAAATAAGATAATTGTTTGTAAATTATTTCACTTTTAATTAATTAATTTCATTTTTGGGAAAGTGGGTTTATTTAAATTAACCAAAAATGGAATGAAATGATTTCGAAGATAAGAAAAATTGACATACATTGTCTAAATTTTATGTATTTAAGTGTCATATCACCATTATTTCGATCCTAATTAAAAAATAATATATATAATTTTATGTATAACTAAAATTAGATATTATGTTAAAAATATATAAAGATAAAAAAAAAATTATAATTTAATCATTTTAAACTGTAAAACTAATAACAATTAAAAAAAAAGTTAAATCTTTATAAATAGCTAACTAATTTAAATATTTCTGTTAGGACATAATTTCAAATCATATTATTATAACATAAAATTAAGAAAAATAACGAGAAATAAAATATTATTTAATCGAGATATTGAGTTATTTCATCAAGTTGTGTTATATTCAAATTGACGAGCTCGACCATATTGAGACGTTCTAGAAACGTTTTCGACTTAGTAAGGTCAAAAATATTAGTATAAGTAATATTTTAGGAAAATGAAGTGACGCATATTACATCAGTGTTATATCACATGAGACGCCGTGATGTAACATGAATAAATTACCACAATTTATGTCATTAGAAGGAAGTATTACGTGCATCAGCTCATTGAATAACGATTCTTAATGTAGGACCTTATGCTTGTTGTATATAACACGAGCATGGATTACTTCTTTAGTATGTTACTCACAGACGCGTACATTATAACATTACACGAGTCCAACTA